TTTGTCCGTACCCTTGTACAGACAAAAGCGTAACCCCGAAACCCCTTGTTTTTACATAAAATGCGTGCCCCTAAATCACTTGTGTTTTATATAATGCCTGTTCCCGGGATTATGATGCATCGCCGGCTAACCATGAAAAACAGACTAGAAAGCGGAAAAACGCGAAGGATTTCCGGAAAATCGGACCGTAGTACTTTAACTACCCAGCAAACTGTATGGGTGAACAGATGGCTTTGTAAGTGGTTCACTAGATGTTTTTGGGAAATGCAAAATGAGAGAATATTTTTTTGAGAGAAATGCCCAAAAATAACCCCTCAAGCGTAATAAGTCAGGTAGTCACCATTTATGTAATATTAAAGGTTTTGCTTTGGCAGAACCCGAAACACCGAGCGCACTACCTACCACCCATAGTTGTAAAGATTAACAGTAAAGTATTGGATTAACTGTAAATAATGCCTGGTTTAAACTAAAAACCTATGGTGCACTTCATCTAGAACCTTCCAACTAGCCAAATTTGGACGAGAAAATATTTTTATTATATTTGAATATATTGAATAATATATCACTTTCGAAACTTCTACAACTTTCGAAAACTTTCTGGAATATCTCCAAAATTCAAAACCTCCAGTAATTTGTATTAATTTCCGTACAGGATTTTTTTTAGACGTGAAATTCGGAATCATTCTTCAATTTGCCAGGACATGGCGGGTGCTTTTAGTCTCCCTCTGCCTAGGCATGCGTCTCTCCTCGGAGACTGCTCCGCTAAGGATGGCAAAGGAACCAAGGCGGGGCGCGGGTTGACGGCGGTTAAGAGCCATGAGACCCACTGAAGTCCAGCCGTCCCTGTATGTGCTACCCCCGCGGAACGGCGCCTTGGTTGTCGGCTGTGGTTTGTAGCAATTGTCCAAAGGTAAGCCAATTAATATATTTTACTACTTTGAACTCTATAAACGCATTTCATCCACGAGCAACGCTTTCTCTTGAGACATTACCTTTAGGATTCGTCTGTGGCTCTTGTACTTGGTGTGCGCAAACCTTGTTAACTCGTAGTCATACCCGAAGCTGTAGGCTTCAATGAAATAGGCACAGCGGCGAAAAAAATTGCAGATGGGCGTGAGAGGTACGAAATCAAGGCTTTGAGGGACACAAATCTTTAGCCCTTCGAACGAGTAGTCGCAGTGACTCCTGGCGTAGCGCCTGGCGCCCCCCAGAACGATTCGATCGGATTCAATTCGCAATGATACTTGGGTAGGAATGCTCAAATGTGACCAGCCCTGATTATGTCTCTTCCAATAGGGACAGCTGGGCACGAAAGTCTTCTTGGGAAGCCATGCAATGGCGCGCACAGCACGTGCGGACGTCGCTTTGGTATGTATCGAGGTGCGTTTGTTTGCAAAAGAGAGACATCTTCAACAACTTGACGTCAGTATCCAGGTTCTAAGAGTACTTGCTGTAGACCTTTGGCCACGACTCCGGGTATGGTTTTCTTCAATGACCATACTTTGTGTTGTTCCATCCAGCAGTCGTCCAGGACGAAAAAGTGTTAGGGCTCCACCCGGTTTAAGACTCATATTCGAGGCACGGAGCGCATCAGGGGCGAAGGCTGCATGATTCAAAAGGCCGCGGGCCTTTTTGTGCAGGTCATGATTGTCGGTTTGGGACCAACCTTTGCCGCCATCATCATTGGCGCAAAAAACGAACTCATCGTGCGTAACCCAAACAATCTCGGACTCATTTGTTGTTCTAGGATGCTCCACCGTTGCCATGCCGTCGCCACAGTAGTAACGCATCCTGGTTGCAAAGCCATGGAATGATTTGCAAAACGTCTCGTGGTATGACTTGACATCATCACGCTCGTGACCATCCGTCGGTGTAAACGTTCTTCAACCAGAGGCCATATCGATATCCAACGTGCTGCATCCAGCGGCGAGCCGTACTTTCCGACACGTTGGCCTTAACTGCCCCAGTAAGCAGTGGTATGACATCGTTGTTCAGGTGCCGTTGGAAGCGCTCAGGTGACCTTTGACTAGGTGGTTGCATGTGAAGCCACTCCCCACGTTTGGTCATGAAGTCTTCATCGTGCATGAGTGACTTCGTCTTTTGATGCTTGCCACGATCGAACACAGGCAGTATGCCGTTGTATTCAAAATGACGCGACCAGAACTGAATAGTCCGGGAATGACGGTTCAACTTTGTTGGCATGCCAAGCGCAGCAGTGGTTGCGGCTTGACGTCGACTTGAGCCGCTCACACGGAGCTCGAAAAACTTCAACAAGATATATCTCTGGATAAATGTTGCTCCAGCAAGTGTCTTTGTTTGGTCGTACAGATCGTCCAACTTGACAAAACATTCGCCTGCTGACAATGAAGGCGCTGATCATGCTGGAAGGTGGTCCTGGCTGGTCGTAGGTTAGCTTGGAACCGTTCATGGACAAATTGCACCGCGAGCTGTTTGGTGAGCTGTATCCTTGGGGTATGTTGACACGAAGTAGGACGAGATGGTCTTTATGGGACACGATATCAGAGCTTGGATGTTCTCGGCATGCTTATGAAGCACGGTGCGATCACTGTCACCGGTGTAAAAGAACGGACGCAGCCTCGTAGTGTTCATGGGCTGGGCGATATTGGTCTCCCACCAGTCCCCGAAAAATGACAAGTCTGCACCTTCTTCTGGTTCGATGGCGTTGTTTGTGGTTGGGATAGCGACAATTTCTGCTTGTTGCACACCGTAGACGCCATTTTGCCGTGCCTGTGCTCGCTTGGCGTTTGAGCGACGTGTTCGACGTCCCAAGGCGCGCGCCTTCCAATCGGCTTCTTTACTTGAATTATCCGGATAAATACGCCCTGTAAACCGGATAAGGATGCATAAAAATGTTAAGTATATTGATCGTTCACCCCTATGGCCAAATCTTTAGTGGCCAGCTAATATTTCCAAACTATCATTTCTTATTTCTCAATCAATGCTTCGTCAAATGAATATCTGAGACGTAAAATCTCTTCGTATTGTTGAGATCTGTCGATATTATGTCTCTGTTTACTACTTACTACCTCTGTCCCGGTTTTATTGCTCCAAACGAGATTCTTGAAGTTCCATTTTAATTGCTCCAAACGTGCAACAGTGGATTGAAGAAAAAACACTATATTTCGCATACAAAAATCAAGTACATTTATTTCAAATGTTTAATCCAAGTACCGATGGTATATCAAGTTCTTCATCATCGGAATCGTCTACGTCATCCAGACGCTCAAGCTCCGTGCAGACATCGCTCATTTCCAAGTTCTTCGCCACTTCGCTTGCCAATTCTAAGGTGACTGTAGACAAGTCACACTCACTTAGCAATTCCATACTGGCGTTGACAACGCCAGCATCCGCTTCAATCGACGAGGGCAAGCGACCTTTCGCAGCGAGCACGGCATTCTTCATGTGTGGTATCTTGTAATTGTTGCCACCCGCGCAACGAATCACTTCCATCATGCATCCTTGCAACGTCAAAAAGTTGGCATTCAACGTGGCTGGGTCAACATCGCTCCACGCACGCTCCGTATTGTCCACAATGTCAACCATGCTTCGTGAGCAGTTCCGATCTTGAAGGGATTGAATCGCACGGAAAAAGCCGAGGTCCAAGACATTCAAATCTGGGGAGTTCGGGAGTTGAAAGACCACTTGCATGTCCCAACCATCTTGTCTGCATGCCGCCACGATCTCGGCATCCAGAGGCGACACGTGTGGTCGGGCATTGTCCTGTTGGATCCGTATTTTGCACGTTTCTTCCTTCGGCCACCGCGCCTTGATCGCCGGAATCACCTTGTTGATCAACATTTGCTTGTACACGCGCCGCGTCACGCTCACAGCGCTCAACTCCATGGTACCAGCTGGACGATTCCGGCTCGAACGCTTCGCAGGGTTCCACTCCGTGAAATGCCATGTGCCGATCTTCCCATCGAACCATGAGCCACTCTCGTTGTCCCACCGCGGTCGTACCACAGCTGATAGAAACATCACTTTCATGATGTGTAGCTTGGACTTGGTCGTGCGGTGCGGTGGCTCTTCACCTTTCGCCAAGTAGTACGTCGCTCGAACACGCGACGCAAATAACCACTTCTCGTCCACATGGACACAATCCATCATGTCATCAAAACGCAGTCCGCCATCCAAACCAGAGCGCAGGGCATCGACGGACCACTTAAGACGAACGACCTTGTTGGCATCTGTCAGCGACGGCTTGAGGACACTCGAGTACTTGATGAAGAGGCCCTTCTTGTAGTATCGATGCAGTGTCGTCTTCGGCACATTCATGGCTGCAGCGATGGACCGAAACGTGGTTCGACGGGCCTTTGGAATCGCTTGCAGTCGTTGGGAAATCGATTCATGCACTTGCTTTCTTCCAACACGACCCTTCATTTGCGATGAAACGTCGGCACACGGGCGAACACCACCATGGACGTCCACACACGCTCGCTTCCAGATCCGCCGGACAGTACTCCGCACCACGCCGAACTCCAGCGCTACATCCACCATGGCTCCTCGAGGCAGCTTGCCGCCGGGTTGCATTCGAATGAGCAATCTCTGCAGCACGGCGTTCCGTTCGACGTCCGTGAGGTTTTTTCTCATGGCAATGATTTCGACAATGCTCGATGAATCAGCGATGCTTCGGTTTTCGCGCGATAACTTCCTTTTGGCCTGAAATCGGCGCCAATCGATAGCGCCAATCAACGCGGTGATTTGGAGCCTTAATGCATCAAAATTGGAGTAATATTGGCGAAGTTACGCTGAAAATTTATTTGAGGCTTGTATGTACGGATGTCGTTCCTTTTTATCCGTACTTTGTTTTTATTGAGCGTGGTTATTTCAATTATATGAGCCACAGTATGGAATCTTCTGATTGCTTTCTCGTATTTGATTGGACGTATTTGAACTCAATTTGATTTCAATTGAATTCGCCGAGTTCTGCTCTTTTGAAACATACCGCATACTCTATACTTCTCAGAAAACATTGTGTTCGTTTCTCAAAAATGCCGTTTGGAGCGATAAAACCGGGACAGAGGTAGTAAAATTTTGAGAAATGAAAATGAAATAGCACCCAGGCTTTTTGTGAAAAGTTGGAACTTTATACTGTGCACCATACCATAACGACTCGGACAAATATTTGCTGGATATGTGCTTCGGACACGCACTTAACCGAATTTACGCATTAAATGCGAATAGTTGTACCACAGGCCTTGTCCGGGTAGCGGCACGGCCTGCGGCCTACCTGCCGCTTTTCCCGACAAGAGGAATCGATTGGACATTCGGTGAAGTGCACGATTGGGGCTCACTCCTCGCCAAGGCACCGCCTGCACAAAATTATACACACGACCTTCGCTACGCTGCGGTGTGCGCAATTTTGTGGGCGGATGCTCTGTCGTCGCTCGCTACGGTAAAGCTGATCGTTCTTATCCGGGTTAATACAATACACAAGTATGTCCGAACATATTCCGTTCGGACACTTTCATTCGGACAAAATATGTTCCCCTTAAGTCCAATACAAATACCAAGTATGTCCGACTGAAATTGTCCGAACGTGTCGGCAAAGTGATCATATTCACCCATACTGTAGCACGAAGAAAGGTGCATGCTCATGTATGCGACATGTGGATAAGTTGAACTTGTAGATTCTGGATTTTGTATGTAGATTCTTGAAATGCTAGTGTATATTCTCTCTAAGTTGCACTTGCAAGCATCAAATTGGCACAGCAACGATAGTCCTGGCTCAAACGATAGTCCTGGCTCAAACGATAGTCCTGGCTCAAACGATGAACAACTAAACTTTTCGTGAGTCTCCCATTTCCAATCTAGCTGCATGATGCGTCTAATGTGTTTGGCTGCGCTGTTTGTGGTGAACGTCCTCCTGGCCGTCACCAGTAGCGTCGCCCTTGCCAGCATCCCCCGCAACGGGTGGTACGGCTGCCCCCTCAGCACCTTCGAGTTGAAGCCACCTATTGGAGCCTACAAC